AGCTCAAATTGTGCCGAAATTTTGGATGGACTGGCGTATTGGAACTGTATTGGATCAAAATAGGAACTATATTGGAACCGTATTGAAACCGTATTGAAACCGTATTGGATCAAAATAGGAACCGTATTGGAACTGTATTGGATCAAAATACGAACTAGATTGGAACCGTATTGGAACCGTATTGGATCAAAATAGGAACCGTATTGGAACCGTATTGGATCAAAATAGGAACCGTATTGGAACTGTATTGGATCAAAATAGGAACCGTATTGGATCAAAATAGGAACCGTATTGGAACTGTATTGGATCAAAATAGGAACCGTATTGGAACCGTATTGGATCAAAATAGGAACCGTATTGGAACCGTATTGGATCAAAATAGGGAACCGTATTGGAACCGTATTGGATCAAAATAGGAACCGTATTGGAACCGTATTGGATCAAAATAGGAACTATATTGGAACTGTATTGGATCAAAATAGGAACCGTATTGGAACTGTATTGGATCAAAATAGGAACCGTATTGGAACTGTATTGGATCAAAATAGGAACCGTATTGGAACCGTATTGGATCAAAATAGGAACCGTATTGGAACCGTATTGGATCAAAATAGGAACCGTATTGGAACCGTATTGGATCAAAATAGGAACCGTATTGGAACCGTATTGGATCAAAATAGGAACTATATTGGAACTGTATTGGATCAAAATAGGAACCGTATTGGAACTGTATTGGATCAAAATAGGAACCGTATTGGAACTGTATTGGATCAAAATAGGAACCGTATTGGAACCGTATTGGATCAAAATAGGAACCGTATTGGAACTGTATTGGATCAAAATAGGAACCGTACTGGAACCGTATTGGATCAAAATAGGAACTATATTGGAACCGTATTGAAACCGTATTGGATCAAAATACGAACTATATTGGCACCGTATTGAAACCGTATTGGAACCGTATTGGATCAAAATAGGAACCGTATTGGAACTGTATTGGATCAAAATAGGAACTGTATTGGCACCGTATTGAAACCGTATTTGATTTCTTTGCACTTCTTTTTAAGAATTCAATCTTCCATAAAAAAAAACAGGAAATGAATTTTGAATCGAGAAAAGTTATCTAAAAAAATGGCTTAAAAATTCTGATTGAAATCTGAAATTGAAACCAAAAAGAATGAAAAACGTTTAAAAAAATGACAAGCTAAAGGGCTTTTATATAAAAATTTTCCCTGCTTCACTTATCCGGATTAATTTTTTCACTAATCTTTCCACTTTAAAGAAAATTTGATAACGCTTCTTTTCAGCAAAAAAACTAGAGAATTTCACAGTCGAACACAAGGAAATCGTTCAAATTCTGCAAAAAAAGAGTAAAGATTTAAGTGCAAAAGAAAAAGTGCGTTTACTAGAGCACAAAGTGCACTCAAAAAAGAAAAAAGAATGTCTTTAGAGAGAAAAGTATACTTTAGAAAACACTAAAACGATTTAGGTTATTGTTTTTTTCTGAAAAAACTTAATCTTACTGTACTTTGATATCTAAATTAACATCCTAGTGCCTTTATTTTCATAATTTTATTATATTTATAATGTATTTTGTGCTCAAATTCCTTAAACATTCAAAAATTTACCCCAAAAAACACTTTTAACATCAAAATCTTGAATCAATTACCCTAAAGTCGCGAGTGTAAGTTCTGTTTGGTTTTCGCATGCAAATTGGCGGCTGTCTCCGGTGCGGTGTGTCGAGGGTTCGAACCCCGCTGCAGCATAACTTTTTTGCTTTTTAAGAACAATAATAGAAGTAAATTTATTGAGGGTTATAGCAATTTTATGCTGTTATTTGTTGCTCCGGGCGTGGCTCGGCGCGTCCGCCTGCTCCTCTCCGGTGCTCAGTCTTATGGATCCCTCCCTGGCCTCTTCATGGCCCTCCCTGGCCTCTTCATGGCCCTCCCTGGCCTCTTCATGGCCCTCCCTGGCCTCTTCATGGCCCTCCCTGGCCTCTTCATGGCCCTCCCTGGCCTCTTCATGGCCCTCCCTGGCCTCTTCATGGCCCCTCCCTGGCCTCTTCATGGCCCTCCCTGGCCTCTTCATGGCCCTCCCTGGCCTCTTCATGGCCCTCCCTGGCCTCTTCATGGCCCTCCCTGGCCTCTTCATGACCCTCCCTGGCCTCTTCATGACCCTCCCTGGCCTCTCGCCAAAGTCCACGTCGACGATCGAAAGAGATGCTTTCCAGCGTCTTCTTCAACACTATCGTCTGGATGTATCTATGCACATAACAAATAGCAATGGTCACCTGTCACTCTGTAGTATCCCGCGCTCCAAGAACAATAATAAAAGTTTATATAACAATTAAAATGTATAAAAACCCAACAAAAAGAAATTCAAAGCAATTAAAGCGAATGTAAATTAAGGCAGAACTTATACTCGGATGAACTTATACTCGAGAGGGGTAAACTTTTTTTAGGGTAAACTTTAGGGTAAACTTTTTCAAAAAATTTCAGCTTAAAAGTCGTCTTTTTTTTGATTCGAAAAGGATAGACTGTATAGAAAGAATGATTAAAAAGCTGCCTACTGAATTCTGAACCAAATTTAGAATCAAATTTAAGCACAATTTTTATCAAGTGATAACCGGTGTACTAGAAAAAACAAACAAATAAATGAGTCAGAAATTTTTTTTGATATAAAATTTTTTTTGGGCGACTTTCCGGATGATTCAATTGATAAAGAAAATAGAAAATAGTACAGTTTTTGCAAATTTTTTTGATTAATAATATTGAGCTTTCAAAAACGAAAACAAAAACAAAAAGAATATGTTTTCATAGAAAAATGAGAGCAAATGTGTGAGAATCTCTCATTTTTGCGCAAAGTTTATCGATAATCCTGTGATTTTCCCGGTTCCACTCTGAGATCAGTTATCAAATTGACGTTTTGGTTTTCAAAAATTTCCTTTTTTTTCCTGATGCTGAGCTCATTGACCGATTGACCGCACGAAATCCGGTCTCCAACTTTGGAGATGAATTTCACGATGATTTTGAGCACTAGCGCGGTGTCAAAATGGCACATTTACAAGTCAGAATTTCATGGAGAATCCAATCGTGCCATTTGTGGGATGATTCAAAGTCTGCAAGTAGGTCAAACGGGCAACTCCGCAGATTTGGCTATTTCTTTGAAAAAAGTGCCCGTTTGACCCACTTGCAGACTTTGAATCGTCCCACAAATGGCGCCATTGGATTCTCCATGAAATTCTGACTTGTAAATGTGCCATTTTGACACCGCGCTAGTGCTCAAAATCATCGTCAAATTCATCTCCAAAGTTGGAGACCGGATTTCGTGCGGTCAATCGGTCAATCAGTCAATCGGCCAATGAGCTCAGCATAAGTAAAAAAAACTTTCAAAAAATGCGTCTTTGGTATCAAAGAATAGCCCTGAATTTCAGGGCTATTTTTTGATACCTAAACGCGCATTCTAGCTTAAACCAGTGTCGAGAAAAACTCGTTCAAAGCTAGACTACGCAACGCTCCGCGCCGTCATTATCGGGGTCGGGTACTATTACAGTATTTACTCAGTCAATCGGCGGTAATGATTCGGAAATCGTTTTTTGATCTTTTCCAGAACACTCTTTCCTTCTCTGTTTTATGTCTCTTGTAGTCTCATCAGGTCATCTGAACCCTCAGGGATTACGGTTTCAGCCTCAGCCCCAAAAATCAGCTTTATCTTATCAGAAGGCAAAACGTCAATAAGCACTCGTGCTTGGGAAATCTGCTTTGGGTAAAAAAGTTTTGAGGAATTTGAAGGAATCGGTCTTTGCTTAGAAAAATTGAATCAATTCGGGACTAAAAGTTTACAAATTTTTAATTATTGGGTTGATGGATTGAAAACTGCCGGATTTTGAACTAAAGTTTATTCAACATAAAACCATAAATTCATTCTAAATAATTTCCATTATTATTGACGACTTCTGCCCATTTTACAGGCAATTTGCGGATTCCTCTTTCGTGGTAGGATTTAGGTTTTGAATCGAAAAACTTTCAAAGCCAATTTTTGACTGCTTCTTCCGAATCGCGACGTCGCACTCCAATTGACGTCGCCGCCATTTGAAGGTAGTCGATGGGAGCGCCGCGTCGTCGTTTCTTTTTCGTTTTCAAATCATTTTTTTGAAAATTCAGATTTTCAATTCATTTGTTTTTGTCTGATTATTTGAAAGTATTGTTTTACTGGATAAATTTTGTGTTTCTCTTTGAAATGAGAAAACAATCTATTGGGTTGGTGAATTGAAAACTGCGGGATTTTGAACTAAAATTTATTCAACATAAAACCATAAATTCATTCTAAATAATTTCCATTATTATTGACGACTTCTGCCCATTTTACGGGCAATTTGCGGTTTCCTCTTTCGTGGTAGGATTTTAGTTTTTTCTCCCCATATACCTTTTTAATATTAGCAGCTGCCAAGCCTGCACTGTGCTCTTGTAGGAAATCATGAAGCATGACATGACGAATATTTCCCGGTGGCAGATTGTATTGGATCAAAATAGGAACCGCATTGGAATCGTATTGAAACCGTATTGAAACCGTATTGGATCAAAATAGGAGCTATATTGGAACCGTATTGGAACTGTATTGGATCAAAATAGGAACCATATTGGAGCCGTATTGGAACCGTATTGAAACCGTATTGGAACCGTATTGGATTAAAATAGGAACTATATTGGAACCGTATTGGAACCGTATTAGATCAAAATAGAAGAAGTGAAGAAAAATACCAAAAAATAAAAAGCGGGAAGCATAATTTTTTCGCAATAATTAGAGGAAATGTTGAAGTAAGCAAAGCCCCATTTCAGCTGGTTCTATGCTGTTGTTTTCTTTATCTGCGAGTCCCGCGAAATAACCCGCAGTTTTTAATTCACCAACCCAATATCTTATGAACAGTCTTTTCAATATTGTGTAAGTGAGCTTTTTCTAATGAAAAATTTATTGAATACAAATGTTATCAACACTCTTCAAGCGGTCACTTCCTCGGATATCGGTGCAACGGCTCTTCGGGGTACTCTCTTCACCTAGAAATTCATTATTATTGAAAATCGAAGTCAGAAGCCAGCCAGCCAGCCAGCCAGCCAGCCAGCCAGCCAGCCAGCCAGCCAGCCAGCCAACCAGCCAGCCAGCCTTGACAAGAAAAATATTTAAATTTTCTATTAAAAGAAAGAATGAGATGATTGCATATCTGAGTGCTGAGTTACACTTAAAATACCGAGTCCGGGTAATTATTTGAACACCCTATATAAAATATAAAACTCTTTCCCCAACCGATTTCTTCTTTTTCGTGACCGTTCCTTTCGTTGCCCCCTTCTCTTTTGCCTCTTTTGGCTCTGTCGGTGCTGGTGGTCTTTGTAGACTCTCCAAATCACTATTTGATCCATTTTGCTGGCGTTGTTTAAGCTTTTCCTGGAAGATTACCTTGTCATGGATTTTCGATCGTAAAGCGCACCTGTAAAGCTAATTTTTGTCTCTCTCTCGCCTCTTGATTGCGTTTCCCAAAAGCTTTCCGTGTGTTTCCATACTCGTCCAGTTTTTGTTTCACATCGCCTAAAATCATCGAGTGCATCAGAAAGGGGTTTTTTGCAATGGCTGAGCACAAAGTACAAGTGATGGTAACTGGCAAATGAGCTTTCTAAAGCGTGACCTAATGGTCTAAAGGGGGCAGCTACAGGGCGATTATACAGGGTGCCTTATGCCTTATTGAATCCCTTGAACCCCTTGAATCTTATGATTCCTTAAATTCCTTGAATCTTGAATCTTAGATTTTATGGGCTAAATTGTAACATTTTGATTTATTAAAATTGATGTTTTTAATAAAATAGTTATTGAATACGCTTTTTTGAAATGGAGACTATTTTTTGTGATCTGCAATGGCGATTTGAGTGAAAAATAGAATGAATAGAACGACTTCTAATAGAACCTCTAATAGAACGACTTCTAATAGAACCTCTAATAGAACGACCTCTAGTAGAACGACTTCTAATAGAACCTCTAATAGAACGACCTCTAGTAGAACGACTTCTAGTATAACGACCTCTAGTAGAACCTCTAATAGAACGATCTCTAATAGAACGACTTCTAATAGAGCCTCTAATAGAACGACCTCTAATAGAACGACTTCTAGTAGAACGACTTCTAGTATAACGACCTCTAATAGAACGACCTCTAATAGAACCTCTAATAGAACGACCTCTAATAGAGCCTCTAATAGAACGACCTCTAATAGAACGACTTCTAGTAGAACGACTTCTAGTATAACGACCTCTAATAGAACGACCTCTAATAGAACGACCTCTAATAGAACCTCTAATAGAACGACACCCTAAAGGGTATTGAAAAATAGAACGACATGTCGTTCTAATACACTATTTATGGATGAAATGGAAACTGGCGGCTTGATTAGCTTTTCGAGAATAGCTGCTTTTAGAAAACACCAAGACTACCGTACTCCTTTTTTTCCCCACCAAATAGCGCGTCCTTGCTCGGAATTGGAGCCAATTTGCTCAGCGGTACTCCTCCGGGTCCTTCCGGTTGTGACAAATTAAGCAATTCCTGGAAATTTTTCAGATAACCTTGACCGTACTCCAGAAAAAAGACCCCGATTTTTGTCCTAACCTTTAGTCCATCATTTTTCCCGTTTTGCTCGTCACGAAGCGCCTCTTGCTCGAGGGCCAACAATTCCTGGAATATAATGTTTAATTTAAATTTTATTATAATGCAAATTCCCGCACCTTTTCAAGCTCACTGTCATCCACGTGGTCGTACTCGAATTGCATGTCGTGACCGAGCTCCTCTTTGCACTGAAAACAACTTATAAACAACTTATAACTTATAAACAATTCTATAACAGATATATGTTTTAGATATTTAATATTTTAGATATCTTTTTAATCAAATAACATAATATTTTATCTTACAATGGCTTACAATTAGCTAATAATCAATTCAATTAGATGAACGAGTTTATCTTTTTTGAGTTTACCTTTTTCTTCATGATCGCCAGCCGTTCCTCTCGCAATTGTCGCTGTTTTCGAATGACCTGAGAAATTTGATTTTTAGTAGGATTACTATAGAAAACTATAGTAATCATTAAACTATAGTAATCCTTAAACTATAGTAATCCTTAAACTATAGTAATCAGTAAACTATAGTAATCCTTAAACTATAGTAATCAGTAAACTATAGTAATCCTTAAACTATAGTAATCCTTAAACTATAGTAATCCTTAAACTATAGTAATCCTAAACTATAGTAATCCTAAACTATAGTAATCCTTAAACTATAGTAATCCTTAAACTATAGTAATCAGTAAACTATAGTGATCCTTAAACTATAGTAATCCTTAAACTATAGTAATCATTAAACTATAGTAATCCTTAAACTATAGTAATCCTTAAACTATAGTAATCAGTAAACTATAGTGATCCTTAAACTATAGTAATCCTTAAGCTATAGTAATCCTTAAACTATAGTAATCCTTAAACTATAGTAATCAGTAAACTATAGTAATCCTTAAACTATAGTAATCCTTGTTACAATAATCTTTCTCCAACTAACCTCATCATTTGCTTTATCCAAATCTTTACAAATCGTATCGTGAATCACTTTGTCGAACCATTGAATGAGCGACGTGATTCGCACGTGCGTTTCTTGGAACATTCGGGCAGCCTGGGGTAAATCTTCTTTTTAAATTCGCTTTTAAATTCGCTTTTAAATTCGCTTTTAAATTCGCTTTTAAACTCGCTTTTAAACTCGCTTTTAAACTCGCTTTTAAACTCGCTTTTAAATCCGCTTTTAAATCCGCTTTTAAACTCAATTTCAATCATTTTAAGGAAGATTAAAATTAAATTTCCGAAATTAAACCCCACTTTATCAATCGTTGAGTCATTTTGCACATCTTTGAATGCCGAGTTCACGGTGTTTTCCATTTGAGTCATCTCGTCCTCGGTGGCATAGGGGAATTGAACCTGGAAAGCAGGGATTGCGCCTTTTTTTTCTACAGGATGACCAAGAACTACCGCAACAACTTTTTGGAAGAGTATCTGGGAAATGTCTAATTTATTTCAAAAGTTGCAAGTGTTATACAGAGAATTGTAGGCCTAATTCTCGGCAACATTTATCTACCAAAAACATCCCGATTCGACTTATACAACTCATTTAACAAGCGCTTGAATGATCGCTAGTCGGCATCTCTCCGGCGAATCTGTCATTTGGCCACTTTTCTCTATTAATCTCTATCTTTTCTCTATTTCTCTTGTTAAGAAAAGCTTCCATCAATGCAAAAATAGCGTTTAATATCACTTAATAACGTTAGAAATCACACTTTTCTTAACAATTTTTAATAGAGAAAAGTGGCCAAATGACAGATTCGCCGGAGAGATGTCGACTAGCGCTCATTCAAGCGCTTGTTAAATGAGTTGTATAAGTCGAATCGGGATGTTTTTGGTAGATAAATGTTGCCGAGAATTAGGCCTACAATTCTCTGTATAACATTTGCCACTTTTGAAATAAATTAGCCATTTCCCAGATGAATGAGCGTTTCAACATTTCCAAAAAGTTGTTGCGATAATTCTTGGTCACCCTGTATATTCGTTTTGCTCAAAAATGTGTAAACACACTCTTTCTGGCACAATTGCTAAAGAAAACGAAGAATTTAGTGAATCAGAAAGGTCACTTTTGAGCTTGAGCTTGGGCTTGAGCTTGAGCTTGAGCTTGAGCTTGGGCTTGGGCTTGAGCTTGAGCTTGAGCTTGGGCTTGAGCTTGAGCTTGGGCTTGAGCTTGAGCTTGAGCTTGAGCTTGGGCTTGAGCTTGAGCTTGAGCTTGGGCTTGAGCTTGAGCATAGTTCTCTGGCACATCAGCCTAGCTACCGTAACCCCGGCTTAAATCTTGATTAGTTAATGGATTTTTTACAGTATATCAACTACTTGGGTTATTATAAAAGTAGCTAATTAGATCATGAAGGGTTACGGTAGCCAAGTCGCGTTTTAAAATGTCAATCCGAGTCTTTAACTCCTCACTCACTTTCCCCAAATACACTCGACAACTTTGCACATTCTGTCCAGCGGCGATGAAGTTGTTCCGCGCCTCGGCCGCCGCGAAATATCTCATTCGACCGTTACTAAAATTTTCTCCTTGATCGCGTCCGTTTCCTTTCTATTTGCGTTCCTATTTGCATTTAATTTGCGTCGCAATTTCGTCTCATTCTCTTCCCGAAATGGTTTTTTTTGTTTTTTGTAGCTTCTGGCCATTTTTGGGTTGAGGGTTTTGCCTTCGTTCTTTGGGGGATTTCTATTCATTTCTATTCGGATTTCTATTCAATTTCTATTCATGCGCAAGCTGTTTTTATCATGGGTATCGTTGCATTCTTGGCTCTCTTTACTAATAAATCGTAAAATTATAAATCCAATTTACTTTACACTTCCCCTGAAGGTTTTAAATCCTTTTTCGATCGCTGGTCTAACATTATAGAAAGAATTTACTAGCTAGCATTTACTTACTAGCATTTGTGTTGCCATCGACGAAGCGTCAATCCGTTTTGGACTCGTATGAGTACTGTACTTGTACTTTTGAGCGTTAACCTTATGCTGGATGTTGCGTATTGCTTTTTGTGAGCGTTGAACTCATTGAACGTGGAAACTCATTGAGCCTTTTGTGCTACTCGGCTATTCCGAGCGTGGCTATGCTACTCGGCTGACAAAATCATCCCCGATGATAAGATTAAAGCGGCCCGAACTCCTTAAAAAGTCAAGCACTGATCATTTTGCTTGACGAAAACCTACCTTGTCTCGATTTTCTTCAACTCTTGCCATCTGCTGATCCCGAATGCCATTTGGGTATTCGCGTGAACAAGGAGCACTCTGAAATGGATCATTGGTACAACAATTCGGTTAGCTAGGCGACCATGTGGCTAATTGAATTTAAAATTACCTCTCAAACTTGCCAAAAACTTCAAAATTGTTTTTGTATTCATTGTGTATTCATTTAAATTGTGATAACTCAAAATTTAAAGAAGCTATTTAAAAAAAGGTAGTAAGATTTAAATTCTGTGGGAAATTGGCTATCTTTTGGCTATTTCGATCGATTCGCCGTTGAAAAACTACGGATTTTGCTCAAATCTTAGCCGGGTTTGCTTTGAAAAACGTTGAATTTCCTTTATTTGACTCGAAATGAAATTTTCTATCGAATGAAAGCAAATTGAAAGCTTGGCTTTCTCGACTGAAAGCAAAGCAAGCAAACGCTTTTCAAACAACCTGGATCTTGACCGGGTGGTCAAGATACGAGCAAAAATTCATAGATTGCCAAACGAATTGAAAAGGGGGCGGTGTTTAACATGGCTGACGTCATGCTCACCGTCCATTTGTCCATTTGAACATCGCCAAGTTGACTCTTTGTTGCCATTCGACGAGATCTTCTAACTGAAATCACGTTCTCTTCGAAAATCTCTCGAAAATCCTTCCAACCTCTCCCTCCAATTGATTCTCCTTTTCCGAGACGTATTCTGAGCCAAAAATATCGGCTGAATTGAAATTGGAATTGAAAATTTTTGGCCTTAAAACCCACTCAACATTTGATCTTGTTTCTCGTACATTCCTTGTAAATCGTCACTTTGTTGCTTGTAAAGATCTGCGATTTTCGATGCTCGATCGTATTTTTGTTTCGCATCAACAAGAGCCTAAAGTTTTCAAAATAAAAATTGAAAATACGAAAAGTTAAAGTTATAAAAGTGACTCTGTAACTTTTTAAAGCTCTAAGATGAAGAATTTAGGTCGAATATTTTGGCTCTGAAATAAAGGGGAACGAATTTAGGTCGAAGATTTTGGCTCTGAAATAAAGGGGAACGAATTTAGGTCGAATATTTTGGCTCTGAAATGAAGGGGAACGAATTTAGGTCGAAGATTTTGGCTCTGAAATAAAGGGGAACGAATTTAGGTCGAATATTTTGGCTCTGAAATAAAGGGGAACGAATTTAGGTCGAATATTTTGGCTCTGAAATAAAGGGGAACGAATTTAGGTCGAATATTTTGGCTCTGAAACGAAGGGGAACGAATTTAGGTCGAAGATTTTGGCTTTGAAACGAAGGGGAACGAATTTAGGTTGAATATTTTAATTCTAAAACGAAGGGGAACGAATTTAGGTTGAATATTTTAATTCTAAAACGAAGGGGAACGAATTTAGGTCAAATTTTGACAAAATCCTTCATTCTTTGAAAAATTCGATTCAAAATGGTAAATTGAAAGTGACATTTTGAAGTTTAAAAAGTTTTGAACTTTAAAAAGCTTTGAAAACTGTTTAAAAGTTAAAAAGAGATTTTGTAAAGAGTTTCGTTTTAAATTTGAGAAAAAAGCAAAACAATTCTCCCCGGCCGGGAATTGAACCCGGGTCTCGCATGTGACAGACGCGGATACTAACCACTATACTACCGAGGATGCGAGAGAGGGGTCACCTTTTCGGCGTTTTCTTGTTTCCGCACCGCGTCCAAGTACTCCTCTTTCTCTTTGCCCAAGCGACTCTCCCAAGTGCCCTGAAAAGAAAAATTTTGGGGAAATTTCAGATATTATACAGTCATGGACAAAAATCTTTTAACATTGCTTTTCCGAAGTTTCTTTTTCGTGTATCTTGGTCCAAATTCGACCAATTTGCAAACGGTTGAAAGATTTAAAGAGCTTATTATCACTAGTTTTAGCATTAGCAAAACGATGGATTCAATGATTTATATTAGGTTTGGCGAAAATCACGAGCGCTGCCTTATATACTCCTTTTAAAAATATTCAACCGTTCAACTGATTTGGTGACAAATTCCCTTCAAAGGTAAAGAAATTCAATTTACTCAACATGTAAAGAGGATTACTCTTAGTTACTAGACGTGTAAAGAGGATTACTCGTAGTTACTAGACATGTAAAGAGGATTACTCGTAGTTACTCGACCAAAAAAACGCCGATTAATCGAGTAAAGATTACTCATGCAAATTTGACTCGAGTAATTACTGACTCGTGAGGAACACACTCTAATTTTGACAAACGCCATTTTGACAAGCGCCATTTTGACAAGCGCCATTTTGACAAGCGCCATTTTGACAAGCGCCATTTTGACAAGCGCCATTTTGACAAGCGCCATTTTGACAAGCGCCATTTTGACAAACGCCCATTATCTTCTATTCTATAGATAATCAACAAATTTACAAACCTGTGATTTCAGAAATGTTTTTACTGACGGTTGCTCAATATTGTCCATATCGGCTTTCTCTTTTTCGCTGAAAAAGGATTGTTGTTGATCAAATTGTTGGAATCAAATTGTTGGAATCAAATTTTTGGAATCAGAAACAATTCGAGATTTTCTAAGTTTTCTGCAAACAAACGTCTGTTTTTTCAGCTCCTTATAAGTGGCTTCTAATTGATCAAAAGTTTTCTTCATTTCATCCGCGCCAATCATTTTCTGCTCGTATTTCTTGATGACATTTTTTCGCTCCAAACGATAAACCGCTTTTTCCAAAGTGATGTAATCCTGAAGTTTGTTATTGTTTTTGTTACCAGAAATAACGTATTTTTAAAAAAATTGTTGTGTATATTGGATTTTAAAATGAAAAAAAGAGATTTAAGAACTGGTAAACGTAATTCATTGCACGTTTTGTTGCCTTTAAAAAGTACTTACCTGTAACATTTTCTCGGTGAGTTTCACTTTTTTCACTTTCTTTGCCTTCTTCTCTTTGGCGCGATCTTGAAGCTCTAAAATGAAATAGGTAAAAGGAAACTGTTTAAAAATCTGAATGCCAATTCTAAGTGTTTCTAATTGTTTAAAGTAAACAAGACAATGGTTCAGAGCTGTCTGCTGTGGCTTAGGCTTATGCTTAGAATCAGGCTTAGGCTTAGAATCAGGCTTAGGCTTAGAATCAGGCTTAGGCTTAGAATCAGGCTTGGACTTAGTGCTTAGGCTAGCGGCTAGCGCCTAGCACTAAGTCTATTTGGGTTTTTAGGCTTAGGCTTAGGATCAGGCTTTGGCTTAGAATCAGGCTTAGGCTTAGAATCAGGCTTAGGCTTTGGCTTAGGATCAGGCTTTGGCTTAGAATCAGGCTTAGGCTTAGAATCAGGCTTAGGCTCAGGATCAGGTTTAGGCTTAGAATCAGGCTTAGGCTTAGAATCAGGCTTAGGCTTAGAATCAGGCTTAGGCTTAGGCTTAGGATCAGGCTTTGGCTTAGAATCAAGCTTATGCTTAGAATCAAGCTCATGCTTAGAATCAGGCTTAGGCTTAGGCTTAGGCTCAGGCCTAGGAATGTTGTTAAGTCAAGTCAATCAATGTTGCACTAGTTATTTCCAAAACCGGCCTTTTTCCGTCAAATGCCCATCAGGTTTCTCCATATTTGGTGGTGGAGAAGTTGAGCGGAGCACCTGTTCTTCAAGAGCCGCATCCTAGAATAAACAGATTAATACGAAAAAATGCAACTCTACTTAAATGTTAACTGTGTTAACTCACACTCATCGATCCGTTCAAAACACTTTGCGTGACTTGTTCGGGCGATGGTTCACCATTCGCAGCCGCAGCCGCCTCGACGGCCCTTCGTTTTGACGGTGATGAGCCCAGTTTGGGAGAGTCGACTGAAAAACGATCCATATTTGAAATTCGGAAAAGATCAGAACAGAAATTAATGGTTTATTTGATGAGAATTGTATATTTATCAGAATTATAGGAATTTCTTTAAAATCTTTATCTTTAAAAATTGTGAAATAGATTTCAAAACCACCACAAAAAATCCCGTGTCCAAGTCTAAAGGGATTTTCTTTTCTTTTTTATGTATTCGTATTGTGAACCGACGTCGCCAAGAAACCCGTGTGGATACCAAAAAGTCGCCTCGACATTTCTCTTTTCTTTTCGAATTTGCATTTCAAATCGAAAAAGCTAAAGGCTCAAAAAATGGCCATATGACAAACGTTAAAAACAAAAAAAATTTGGATCGTAAACACATTTGTACATAAAACGTATGCAGATTGTAGACCCAGGATGGCTTTCAATGCTTTTAAAGCTTATACAAATGAAGAGATGTCCCAAAATTCTCCTTGAATCAGGATTTTGAAATTTTCAAAACTTCAATGTAGATAATAGGAAGTTTTTCAGTAACGCTGCATCCAGTAACGCTGCATCCAGTAACGCTGCATCCAGTAACGCTGCATCCAGTAACGCTGCATCCAGTAACGCTGCATCCAGTAACGCTGTCCAGTAACGCTGCATCCAGTAACGCTGCATCCAGTAACGCGCATCCAGTAACGCTGCATCCAGTAACGCTGCATCCAGTAACGCTGCATCCAGTAACGCGCCCAGTAACGCTGCATCCAGTACGCTGCTCCAGTACGCGCTCCAGTAACGCTGCATCCAGTAACGCTGCATCCAGTAACGCTGATCTTCAGGATTAAAATGATCTATCTATATGATCACTTTCAGTATCAAAAGACAATTTGAAGTCAATGCACATCAAACGGCAATGCGAAGTCGCGCGAAGAGCTTTAAGACCCAAAAAATTTTCCAATTGGAAAAATTCCAATTTCCAAACGAGTTAAACGAACATCATATCAAGATTCTTTAAAATTTTCTGGGCACTTCATATTATGCTCAAATGCAAATCATTATATGTAAGGGAAACGAGACAAGTGCCACAAAAGCTGTTTGCTAAAATTCGGAAAGTCGCCCGTCTTGCAGAAAGCTCCTTTTATGGGAGTGGGACAAATGCGCCCTTTTTTTTGCGCACCCGGACATTTGCGCACCTTTTTTTCCGCACTTAGCCCATTAGCGCACCTTTTTTCGCGTTTTAAAAAAGCTCTAAAAGCTAATATTAACCAATTTCTATTCCAAAAGTTGTTTTTCTAGGTAATTTGAGGGTGTCGAATTCAGATTTTGACATAATAGAGCGTGTGGAACCAATTTAAAAGACAAAACGGCTAGGTCAAATTACAGAAAATTGTTGATTTTTCTCTTTGTATAACTCCGTCCGTTTGTTTCCACACGCTCTGATATGCCAAAATTTCGATTCTACGCCCTAAAATTACCTAGAAAAACAACTTTTGGAATAGAAATTGGTTAATATTAGCTTTTAGAGCTTTTTAAAACGCGAAAAAAGGTGCGCTAATGGGTTAAGTGTGGAAAAAAAGGTGCGCAAATGTCCGGGTGCGCAAAAAAAGGTCGCATTTGTCCCACTCCCTTGGCAACTTGTTTTTAGAGGTGCTAGCAAAAGCTCCAAATTATTTGCGCCAAATTTGCACTTTTCAACACACTTTCCTACCAACTCTGATTGTTTATTTTAATTTTTTTACTAATTTGTCTCGTCGACTATGCTCGCTACTTTGATGCCTTCGCCGGATCTGAAAATGGCATAAAATCGATATAAAGAGCAAAAAGTCCAACGGTGACACAGAAATGACTGTTTTTGGGGTTGTATATGTATTTAAACGTCTAAAACAGTGTGAATTAAAATTGATTTGCTTATCGATATAAACGGCATGCTCATGTTTGACCGTTCAGATCTCAGTTTCTAGAACAGCTATCAATCTGCAAGTTGTTTCATTGGAAAGCCAAGAATGTCAGCTTTTGATTGCTATCTCACACATAGCAAATTCTCATAGGTAAGTGCCTTAAAAAGCTTATCAATACTTATCGATATTTGAGTCGACAATCGATACTTGCGACATCGATAAGGTTTATGAGGTGCTTACTCATTAAAAGTCGCTATGTATAAAATAGCAATCAAAAGCTGAAATTCTTGGCTTTCCGATGAAACAATTTTCAGATTGATAGCTGTTCTAGAAACTGAGATCTGAACGGTCAAACATGAGCATGCCGTTTATATCGATAATAGCTACTTTGCGTCGAATTTTTTGCGCAACTCGCCATAACTTAACTAAGTAGGCCAATCTTTATAATTTTGGTGTCATTTTGTAGATCTCAATAAGTTTAACAAAATTACACCAAGATCATAAAGATTGGCCTACTTAGAAGAAAGTTATGGCGAGTTGCGCAAAAAAAAATTGGCGCAAAGTAGCCACTTCCTATTGCTGGCAACTTGTTTTTAAGGTTCATGAGCAATTGATCATCAAATTTTATTTAATGTTTTATATAATGTGGTTTTTTTACAAAAATTTCCTGATCTATTGTCTAGAAACCGGGAATTATAGGGAGAATAGATGAAAAAGTATTATCCAAGATTCGTAGAGCTTTCGATTTGACCTTGATTCAATATTTTTTTTTGAATCAACTATGCTCCAGATATTGTTGTTATTAGTGACTTGACTTTACATATTAGAACCTGTGTTTAATGCATTAATGATATCAATTTACGGTCTTTAGCCTCGATTTGTCCGCTGTTCTTTTTTGTATCAACTTTTCACCTACCTCCACTCAGCGTGCATAGGCGCCCCGCGTAATATCACTATTTTTTGGCAGTTGGATTAATGGCTGTTCTTTCATTTTTATGCTTTACTTTAACATCTTTATTAGCTTCATTTCTATGTAGGAAATCTGATTCAGATAATCAATGGCGTCAAAAGGAGGACCGCGTGCGATGGGAAGCGATGGAAACGATTTCCGACATCGACAACAAATCGCCGCTCACTATCAAGAAAGGTGAGGATTTTGTTATGCACTTTAAATTCCGTAATACTTGATTTTTTTGCTTTTATTCTAAGAATCAGTGTATAAAGTGTTCTTGGGGCAAAAAGCATAAGTTACTTTGAAACTTTATTAATAAACTTCTTTAGTGTACAATACAAGAACTACCTGAAATGGCTAGCGGTACCGCATCTCCTTGTTTCACTCTTCCTTTGGACTAAGGTTGTTCTTAAAGCTTAGATTTCAAGTATAAAAGACATTATTACAACTTTAGGTACAAAGGTAGTTGGGGGGCCAATCTGTAAACTCGTCTTGGCATGTTGAAATTTTATACTGGGGGTTTTTGATGATGCTAAATCGATTCGTAATATTTACAAACTATGCTTTTTGTTATTTTGATTTTACATGAATGCAACAATAACTTTAATAACAACAATAAAATTGTTTCCTAGTCGCCGCTGCTAAACCTGCATGCGCCATACACTAAAGAAAAACTTAAGAAAAGTTACAAGAATGAGGAAAAAGTTTCAAAAAATAGGAAAATATCAAAGCCGGGCCCATGTGTAATCAATCAAAATCACAACAAATCATAGTTTGAAAATATCACCAATCGATTCAGCATCATCAAAAACCCCCAGTGTAAAATTTCAACATGCGAGTTTGCAGATCCCCCAACTACCTTTACACCCAACTTTGTTATTTAGGTCGGTGGCGAAATTCTAAGGCGAAGCTTCGAGACGAAAATCGCGTTTTTGGAACGTATTGATCTACCGTCAGCTTATCCCTGGGAATATGTGTGGTGCCTCTCGTTCTTCGTCTGCTTTTTGGCGTTCATGGCCTTCCCAAAGAATAATGTAAGTTTTTGATGGTCTTTTAAGATATTTGAGGTTTAGTTGAAATATATCAACTACTTCTACTATGGACACTTCTTGATGGGTATCGTGCCGTGTATGATGGGACTCGGCGGGCAACTTCCCGAATTGTTCGACTATATTTTCAATTCCGATAGTCAAACGCCGACTTTCAAGGTTTCAATTTTGTGTATATCGTACAAGCATGTGAACAGGAAAGCTTAGCTTTTATAATTAGCCTATGATACGTTTATATGAGGTCTTACGGTCTAACTAACAGTTTAATTAGCTGGAACTAAATTATTTGTTTAGGGTACCTTCCCGATGGTCATAATTTGGTATATCTTCTTTCTGATCGCCCTACAAATCCACGTCGGAGCCATGTATTGTGCCAGCATTCTTGCCCGAGCCTGGAGTCCCATTCGACCACATAGCGACTAAATTTTTGCTCACTCGTAGCTATTTATTGTTTTTAGTTTAGATCTTTTGCTATTTTTATATTGTTTCTTTGTTATTATCTGCCAATTTTCCTACACTTCCTTTTGTTTTTAAGTATTATCGGTTTCTTTGCTCATTCTGTGATTGTTGTTTTTGAAAGTTTGCGGAATAAAGAGTTTAATTTATGTTTAGGGCGATGGATGAATTGAGCTAGGTGTATCTTGACACCAGCGATATCTTTGAGCTTGTAAATTTTGAGATATTTGCGGAACTTATGACTATGTCCTTGTTTTAGAAATGTGGGGTTGTACTTTTGCCGAAAAGAACGAAGATGTACGTGATCATGAGGAGTTCAAGGTAAATTTTGTGTGAAAAAAGCACGTTAGTTAGCCAGGTAATAATATCTTATATTGTTTCAGTATTTGACAAGCAAGGAAAATCTGCGGGAAACCTTTTGCCTCATTTGATCAAAACTTTTAGGCTGATTACCTCCATGAGCCTGTTGTGAGCCAATTTTCTTTCCCACTACCACCACTCGGAATCCAGGTTTATTTCAGTTTTAACAATCTTGAATGTACTGTTTTACAGCCCAAAGAATTTGTTGGCGCACACTTCGGAAAAGAGCTCAAAAATCTGCAGTTCCGTAAGGTTGGTGCATCGATTGTGTTCCTTTTATGTTTTCATTTTCCAGGGAACCACCACGCTTGCTTTCCTCTATGAACCGGCCACGCCAGCAGATCAGGGTGGTATTATCATTGCCGTCGATTCGCGTGCTTCAGCTGGAGAATATATCTGTACGTTTATACAATTGTATAGTAAAAGTTGATCAATGATTACTCCTGGCCTCATGCATAGTGATTTGCAAGTCTGTTCAATTAATAATTTAGCATCCAAATCCGTGATGAAGATTCTTGATATCGGCGATCGAATGGTGGCCACAATGGCTGGTGGAGCCGCTGATTGTCAATTCTGGACTCGAGTGGTGGCAAAATATTGCACGTAAGCTTTAGTTGAAATTTCTTTTGAACCATCTTTTCAGACTTTATGAGCTTCGAGAAAAGGCGCCGATTACCGTGGCTGCTGCTAGCAAATACTTTGCCAACGTTTTATATGGTTACAAGGGACAAGGTCTTTCTGTTGTAAGTTTTGATGGTAAAACGTTAAATTTCAATTGTTTAGGGTTCAATGGTTTGCGGATACGATAAGCGCGGTCCAGCTATTTTCAAGGTTGATCATCTATTTTCATTAGTTACTTTGGGAAAATTTTAGGTCGACTCTGAGGGTGATCGTTCCTCATTGAATGTTTGCTCAGTGGGATCGGGATCGTTGAATGCTTACGGAATTCTTGATCAGCACTATAAAGTAAGGTTTTTTTTCCATATTTTAGCACTCTAAAGTCTATTACAAATACATAACCGTTGTTTAGCCAAAAATGACCGATGAGGAAGCTAAACAACTTGGCTGGAGGGCAATCATGCACGCCACATACCGTGACTCTGGATCGGGAGGTGTCTGCAATTGTAAGTTTTATTTATTGTTTGTTATTAAAGTCAGTTAAAGACACTTTTTTAAATTGGTTAGTTTAAAGGGTGAATTGCAATGTTCATAAGAATATGAAATAAAGTCTTGACGTCCTTAATCTTTAACGAAACCGTTAAGCTTTAATCAAACCGTTTAAACAGTTAATCAAAGCAATTAAATACTTTACAAGTGGAAGTTTTAATTTTTTTCCAAATCCTTTTACATTAAAATTCCATTTGATTTTCATATTTATTCAGTGGTTCACATCTCTCCGGAAGGCAAAACGCGTTATCCTGGCCGCGACGTGTCTCAACTCTATTATGAATTCGCCGCCGAGCTCGGACGCGATATTGCTTACGATCCACGCGATGATTAATTGGTGATTTTGTCTATCCTTTTAATTTATTTCCTTATACGGTTCTTGTTTTCAATTTTTGTGTGTAAGGAAAAATTTTCATCGGTTTGCCCTTGTCTTCGATTAGTCTCCCCTTTTGTGGACCAGTGATGATATTTTTTGCGTCCGTTTGCATTGTAATTTATATATCTTTTGCGATTTATCTTTTCAATAAATCAAAAATTACAAATGCAAAAGTCGAATTGCATCATTTTCAGAACTTTTAATGAACCGAGGGTGTGCAGGGTTTAATGATGAGTCTCGAGACGTGTTTAATTTTGAAAATTGCTGAAGCAATTAAAGTCCATGACTTTTAGATCCAAAAACCCCGCACTAATAAAAAATCCTTTAGATCTAGCTGCACTTGCATCAAAGTTGTTCGTAACACAACTTTTTATTACAAAATTATGAATCTTTTTAAATGTTTTTAGCAAAACACCTTGGTAAACGCAAAAAAACAAACACATTAGACCGGAAATCTTTTGATTTGGAGCGGTCACAAGCCGACAATTATTTGCACTTTCTTGTGCTTTTGAGTCTTAAAAATGTGATGTGGGCTTTACAGGTTGGCTAGGATGATTTAAAAATTACTATAGCTGAGTTACGCTTTTAATCCGAGTCCATAAAAGCGCAAGCCGTTTAGCATAGTGCTACTATAAAAGCGACTAATCCGAGCTAGGGTTACGGCTAGGGATCACACTTTAGAGTACTCTAAAGTCAATTCAGTCAGTCAGTCAGTCAATAAACGAATCCAATTTCGGAATAAAGTTCGCCAATCGATAAGTCTAGCATAAATCTAGCCCAAGAAACTAATAAACTCGCCGTAGTGTTATAAGAAACCCGTACCTTTAGGCATTCAGCTGAAAAAGCAACCCGTCGCCACAAGAGCTCGTTTGTTGGTATTCGAGGGTATCCGGTGTCCTCTTCTCGGCCCAGCCCCCTCACTTCTCCAGTCTTCCTCCCCTTCTTCGGTCATTTGAATTATTCGGTTACTCTCATTATGTTTTTCGATCCAATTCCTCATTTTCCATTCAACTTTTTGTGTACCTTTTTGTTTCTTTGTCGATGAAAATTTTCATTTGCTGTTTCGGTTTTCAATTTTTCTTTTCCTTTTTTTCTTCAGCTTCTTCAGCTGCAGTCAAATTCTCTAGCTTTTGCATTGTTTGATCATTTTTTTAGAAAGATCAATGCTTTGATCAATGCTTTGATCAGCATCAAGCAATCTGGTTGATCCTTCCAGACTGCTAGCGCGGGTTAAAGACTAAGCCAAGCTTATCTTAGTTCGGATATCTGGTTGATCCTACCAGATTGTCACCTCAGGCTAAAGACTAAGCCATGCTCATCTTAGTTTGGACTTAGAAAAATTTCCAAGTCAATGCGCTGTTCCCAATGTTGTGGAGAGGGATGGTTGGTTGCTTTAATTCTGAGATGCGGGAACGCGTAGTAGCTCAACACAGTAAGCAGTAGCTCACACAGGAATGTGAGCTACTGCTTAAATTAAAGCTTGAATTCGGTATTCGACTTTTGCGACTTCTGAAACGGTATTCGACTTTTGACGAATTCTGTTCATGTTTTTACTTGTGCTAAATCGATAAACGTACCCTTTCTGGCGCACTTAAGTCCTCGTGGAAACAAGTCGAATACCGAATTTCTAGTGGAAACAAGTCGTTACGCAAGATGTGAGTGCACCAGAAAGAATGCGTTTACTAGAGTTGAAAAAAGATGAGCTGGTGTACTTTGTGCTTAAAAATAGATTTGGCAATGAATGACAATGACAATTTTGTAAACATTTCCGATCTGGTGTACCTGTGATCGGTGATCAGGCACACCAGATCGGAAATGTTTACAAAACTGACCAGAAAGCCATCAGAAAACTCATCCATTGAATTCTTGATTGGGGAAAGATTCAAAAGTAAGTAATAATAGTATTAAAGTACAGTAATAAAGTAAAAAAGAAATGGCAAAGAATTTGGAGCCGAGTGGAATTGAACCCTTGACCATAAGCCATAGGCATAGGTCATAGGCATAGGTCATAGGCATAGGTCATAGGCATAAGCCTCAACCTTCTGCTTAACAGGCAGATGATCTACCACTGAGCTATCAGCCTCAAGAAGAATTCTTTACTCAAGAAGAAGTACGAAAGACAAGGAAGAGGAAGAAAGAGAAAGAAGAATTCTTTCCTCAAGAAGAAAGAAAGAAGAAGAAAGATTTAAGCTGCGATCACTGTAATCTGTATTAAATCGAAACTCGTTCTCCACTTTGCCAGAGCAAATCTGCTTATAATTCTACAAACAAACCCATTCTGGCGTACGCGATGAGGAATTAAGTGCACTAGGAAAAGTGTGTTCACACAATCGAGCACAAAATACACCTCAAAGATCAAGCGTAGTCATTTCTTGCAACATTTCTCCCCTCTCATTTCCCTCTTCTGACTCCTAGTGTCCACAAACATTTTTTCATTATATGCCCATCTTTTCCGAGAATAAAAAGACGTGCAAAACCCAATTTCCTTGGATGAGTCGCCTCTTTTCATCCAAACTAATTCCATATCCAAAGAAAAATAGCCCTTTTTTGAAATTGGCTATAAGCAAAGCACTTTTTACGAGTATTCTTGAAGACCGAAATACTTTTGATCTGTTATTTTGATTTAAATATCTTTAATAACATGATAACAAACAAACAAACAAATAACAAACAAATAACAAACAAACAAATGACAAACAAACAAACAAACAAATGACAAACAAACAAACAAACAAACAAACAAGCAAATGACAAACAAATGACAAACAAACAAACAAATGACAAACAAACAAACAAACAAATAACAAACAAATAACAAACAAACAAACAAACAAACAAACAAGCAAACAAACAAACAAACAAGCAAATGACAAACAAATGACAAACAAACAAACAAATGACAAACAAACAAACAAATGACAAACAAACAAACAAACAAACAAACAAGCAAACAAGCAAATAAGCAAATAAGCAAATAAACAAACAAACAAACAAACAAATATTAGGTACATGCATAAGAAATGCGAATTTCAACATTTTTTTCAACATTTTCAACATCATAAATTTCCAACGATAGAAACCTGATATCGATGAATATAACCTGATATCCAACGATATCGATGAATGTTATAAACTATTTGAAAGTTGTAAATCTCCTCTACAAAATAGGCTAAAACGTGTTTCAATTGATTGAAGAAATTGAAGAAATTGAAGAAATTGAAGAAATTTCGAGGGCGAAATGCGAGTGACCAAAAAACGAATCGAGCCACTTTAGGGACAAGTTTAGTGTGGTAGTCATAAGGCTTTTCCAGTCTAGACTCCAAATTTATCTTTTTTCTCAGGAACTCTGCACTTTTTGAGAAATCAAATCAATGAAATGAGAAACTTTTCTTTATTTTCTTGATGAATCTAGACAAAAACTTGTTCTTTTTTTTCGTCTGCGGACCAAGCCTTTTTTTTGACATTTTTGACTCCGAAGCAGTTTATTCAAATGGTTGGAAAGGTTTAAGAGAGTCTCCTACACCATTTATTTTTGATGAAGAACGATTTGGATTTGACTTCAGTACTTTTCAAGATCCTATCGATTATTCTTATTTTATCGACGACAAATTAATCAATATTTTAGTAGGCGAATCTAATAATCGAATCGAATCTAAACATGGAAAAAGGAAAACAAACTGGCAGGATTTCGATGCAAAATCTTTCAAGCTCTTCCTGGCTCTGTATCTTCAAATGGGAATCGTCAAATTACCGAGGATTCGTGACTACGTAGCAGGCCTAGATTAGGAGGATTTTCCCACATGTCCCACATTATGTCAAGAGCAAAATTTGAATCTATTCTTCGAAACCTGCGTTTTTGTGATAATGAACTGGATCCTGCAGGAGATCGGCTTTATAAGATTAGAGCTATTATGGAACATTTCAATGCAATCTCGTAATAATCGTTGCAGCGGTCCGTTCCTGAGTTTTTGCTGCAGCAATTATTCGCTGCAGAAGTTTCGAATGGGTTAAGGTGTATTTGTACTCGATAAATTTCTTTTTAGATAATTTTTATGTAGAAAATCGTCAAAAATGGCAAAAAATGAATAGAGATCGACTAGTGCTCATTCAAGGACTTGTTAAAGAGTTGGATAAATCCGATAAGTTTTTAGTAGATATGTTTTTAGTAGAATGGGCTCTTTCCCTGAATCATGGTCTTTTGAAAGTTTCGTGGTTTTTTAAAAGTTCCGTGGTCTTGGCTGTATGTCTTGGCTGTCAAGGCCAGCTTTACAAGCGTTTGCGTGTCCGAGGCGTGCTAAGCCTTGCGTTTTGCTTTAAACGGAACTTTCAATAGACCCCGAAACTTTCAAAAGACCCCGAAACTTTCAAAAGACCCCGGAACTTTTAAAAAACCACGAAACGGAAGTTGAATTCTTGCAAAACTTTAGTTGCTAATTTTAAGTATCCTTTATGTACTTTATTTTCAGTCTTTCTTTCAGTTTACAAACGCACTTTCTGGCGCACTAAATTCTTCATTTTTTGCCGATATCGATGTAAGAAAATGAGGATTTCAGTGTGCTGGAAAGTGTGCTTTTGTTTGAGAGCATAAAGCACATTCAATCACTTTTTTCTAAGCGTTGATTAATGCTAAAAATGTTTTATATCTCAAAAAATTGGCAAAAAAGAGCCTGAAGCAAAAAAAATGAAAAATTCTTTGTGGCGGGCTCGTTTTATGGCGTCGGGTTACGGTAGTTTCCGACGTTTGGCGCGGAAACGTCTGGAAAAGGAAAAAGTGACAAAAACACCAATTTTTCATCACTTTTCAATCATTTTGTTATAAGCGTTGATTAATGCTAAAAATATGTTTTATATCTCAAAAAATCACCCATCTTCTCTACTTTAATTTGATACGCAAGCGCGCATAAACAAACGTACTGGTCACTGTAACATCCACTGGCCTACGGCTAAGCCAAACT